CCGGGGCTCATCCGGCTGCTTCCCTAGCTTCTCCCTAGCAGTACAGGCAGGTACTGCTTAGTGCCTGCCTGTACAGTCTATGGCCAAATCTCTCCGAAGCAATTCGGAGGCTTCCGATTCAATTCAGACAGATTAATGGGTCTCCTGATTTGATCTGGATTCAGAGATTCAGCCACCAAATTAGGCTGAATCTCCTCCAAACTGAATTGGCTACCGAAGCGTCGCACAGCCCTACTACCTACTATCCTTTGAGCCCGATGAGTCAGCCAGTTTTCTGTCCACCTTAGAGTCCATTCATCCAACCTGTACTTCCTAAGTTTGCTTGCAAGAATGTTGTGGGAGACTGTATCAAAAACCTTGCCAAAGTCAAAGTATAGCATGTCTACTGGTCTCCCCACATCCCCAGAGCCAGTCATCTCATCATAGAAGGCAATTGGGTTGGTCAGGCATGACTCGCCCTTGGTGAATCCATGCTGACTGTCTCCAAGTGCTTAGAAATGGATTACTTGAGGATCTGCTCCATGGTTTTCCAGGGACTGAGGTGAGGCTGACCTTTCTATAGTTCCCCATATCTTTCTTCTTCCCTTTCTTAAAGATAGGCACTATATTTGCCCTTTTCCAATTGTCTGGAACCTCTCCTGATTGTGACGAGTTTTCAGAGATAATGGCTAGCAGCTCTGCAATCAGATTGGCTAGCTCCCTCAGTATCCTTAGTGCTATTTTATCAGTTTTAATGTTTTATCAATGCTTATTACTATTTATAATTTGTATCAAAGTATATTTTGAAAGTCAAAACTATAGTAATGTGAGGCTCAGGTTTAGACCTCTGCTGAGAAGATTAATGAAATCAGCATTTTTCCATGAAAATTGAGTTAATTGGGTTAGTAACAAAACCAGAATAGGTAAAGTTCTAGAATGGCTTCTGATACAGAAAATCAATTTCTTTCTTTTGTCCTTCACAAACAACTGAAGGACAGTCCTGCGATGGTATAAAATGAGGAAATAAATGGTCATAAATGTTTTTTCCTCCTACACAGTGAGGGGGGAAAAAAAAACAGGTGAAATATCCATAGGTGTCTGTTTGAAGGATCAAAGGAAGCTGCAGACAAGGAGATAATGAAATGTGCTGATGGCAACTATTTTGGCTAGTGAAAGCAAAGGAAAATTGTTGAAGAACTTAAGAATTTAGTAAAATGATCTTGAGTGTTAAGGTTGGAAATATTACTTAATGGCATATCAAGGTAACATCCAAGCAAGTTACTGGAAAGCTATCTACATTTCTCCCACATGAAGGAACTATTAGGATTCTGTCAGGAAACAAATGCATATTTTCATGGCATTTCAATTAAAACATGTGCCCAAAGTATACCAGTAGTTAAAGCACATAGAGTTCTCATTTAAAAAAGAACGAAAAAGCCCCAGAAGGTTACTATGACCACATTGTACCAGATATCCTCACTTAAATATTGCATACAGTCTTGATTATCTGATTTTTAAGAAAAGATAAATCTGTGCTTGTGTCTGACAGTACTATCCTACAGCAGAATTAATGAGTTTACTCTGGCTTAATGTCACTGTCTATACACGAAGTGCTATTTTACTGTGGAGCTAAGTAGTCAGCTCCACAGTAAGCATCTTGCATAGATCGCCCAGTGAATACCATTAGTATAATTCCTTTTTACATGCATTACCAAAGGCAGTATTTTCTTTAGCCCAAGGGCTTTGCAGTTTCACTTGAACTTACTGTATTTACTCAAATCCAGTACAAGGTTGTCGTCCCCTGCCCGCCCCCACCCCAGTCAGCATGAAGCATGCTGACAAAAACCAGTCTTGTTTTGGATCTGAGTACCCACCTGGGGCATGCAGCAGTCCAGCTCCTGTTTCAGTTCTGGGCCAAAGCTGGAAATGAGCTGCTGCCTGCCTCAGGCTCATGGCAGGGGAGAGGACTCACAGTTGGGGGAGGCTGGGAAAGACTGCATGGTGGGGGTGTACAAGGAAGACCTGCACTATGTCACTTGCGGGGGAGCTTGAAGGGAGACCTCTGCAGCCTACCCCCTCCCCTCACCTCTACTGCTTACCTTTTGCTTTGGCTCTGGCCCCGATCCTGACCAGGCCTGGAGCTGCTGTCGCTGCTTCTGCCTGGCTGAGCTGAACTGTGGCCAGGGCCGCTGACTGTGCCAGAACCAAAGCAAACCTGCCACAGAAATTAAGCAGTGGCAGAGGGGAGCAAAGGGGTAGGGACGGGTGGGGAGCAGGGTCAGGCACAGGCAGGGGGGCAAGCACTGGGGACACAGGCACAGGGGCACAAGAGGGGGACGTGGTAGGGGACATCAAGGGTAGGCATAGGGGCAGGTAAAGGATGCGGGGGGACAGGCAGGGAGGTGAGGGACAGAAGTCTATTCCCTCACTCCCTGCTGCTGCTTCTATGCCTCAGCGGTTGGGTGTGGGGAGTAAATTTTAAGATAGCTAGATTCCATATGTGGAAAATTATAAATGTGTTTCTGTAATTTTCCATGTATAGAATCTAATTATTGGAGGGTCGTCTTAAATTTGGAGTTGTCTTGGATTCAGGTAAATACAGTAATCCATTTGCACGCGTAATATATGACAAGTTTTTACCCAACCATAGCTCAGAAAAGACAAAAGTTCTCTTTTTCTCAAGCAACAAATTAATCCCTTTGATCTCTGGGGTATATGTTGAGATGAGGTCATTCATTCATTCATAGATTACATGCCCTTTCTTTAAAGTGTATGTATGTTAAGTGTATATTTAAGATGAGTTTTAATTAAAATTTGTAATTTGTTTTTGTGCAGCTGCTAGTACAAGTTGGCTTCAGGAGCATGTTGCAGATCTTAGTAGAAGGTGAGGATTCACAGTCTCTTTCATAGTACCTACTACTTAAAATATATTAGCCACTGTTGCATTCTACCAAATTTATATTTAATTATTTCAGATAATTTGGCCCCTCTGGGGGCACTAACACACAAGTCGGGGGGGGTAACCCCCCAGTAATTAGATTCCATATACGGAAACATTATAAATTTGTATAAAACCAGGGTGGTCTTAGATGCAAGTAAATACAGTGCCATATTTACTAGAATACAAGATGAGGTGTCCTCTCCCCCTTCCCTCCCCCCCCCAATCAGCATGGGGGGAAAAAGCCCCTTGTCTTAAAATCACATATAAGGAAATCTCACTAAATACATTGTCTGTCATTAAACTGTTGGCAAAAGCAGCACGTGTTCAGCAATGGAAACCAACTGTGAAGATGATTAAATGTAGCCAGCACTGAGAATGACTATAAAATACATGGCCCACACTGGAGAAACATTCTGATAGGAACCTTTTTTTGTCCCTTGAGGAAACAGGCAGATATTCCCTCCACAGGGAAGTGGTACCAGGCTTGGAGGTACTACAGGGCACCAGGAGGGCCAGAGCCAGCCCTGACATCCTCCCAAAACAGTTCACCCAGCATTCCTCTATTGCCTTTCAACCTAGGGCATATGATTAGTGTGGCCCTGCCCTCCATGAGGTGAAGCCAGGTGAGGTTGCCCTGCGCCTCAACCATTTGCATATACATTTTTGGCGTCTCTCAGGACTCATGAGAAGAACACCGAGTTCCAGTTGTCAGTGGTGTTTAATTAACACATGGATCTTTTGTGGGGTGTATCTGGAGAACGCATATCCTGAGCAATGTTGAGCTGTGGGGTCACCATGGCTTGAAATGCTGTTGACTCTGGTGGGGCCCAGCCCAAGGAACTATGTGGTAAATTGCAAGCTTTTGGCTTTGAACTAATATCATTCATAGTTTGTACAACATATAAGTAGGTACAAAAATGGTACTCAAAGTGTATTTATGGAGTACCTGTGCTAAAACTTGCTGCAGTTTAAAAAAACATGCATCAATTCTGGATGAACTGAGTGCATGGGTATAACATGCACATTCCTACAGCTGTGTTTAATTTCAGAGTTATTGTTTTCAAGTTTTCTCCTCAGTTATGTGCTCAGGGAGAACAGGGTCTGACAGCAAGGAGAGGAGGAAGAGTCTGCCAGAGGAAAAAACTGGGGGAAGCAGAGAGCAGCAGGGCTACCTGACCTCCCCTCCCCACCGATCTATATCCCTGCTGTAGCAGTGGGAGGGGGACAAACTCAAGGCAAACCTCCAATAAGTAGATTCCATACCTGGAAATTATAACAAATTTATAAATTTTCCATATAGCGAATCTAATTATTGGGTGGGGGGTCGTCTTGTAATAATGTCTTCTATTAGAGTAATTGCGGTAATATGAAAATAAGGTAATACAAACTGCTAAACCATGTTGTGTAACATCTTAGACACACTACAAAACCCTTCTGTTCCCTAGGGCATTTCAGGTGTGGGATGAACAATGAGCTACAAGGTGCTACTGAAGAAGGAGTGTTGTAATCATAAAGAGAAGTCGGCCCCTAGTGTTGCAAAGCACTTAAGGCATTAACAGAGCATCTCTAGATTAGTTCCTGGAGATTGGTAGTTGCATCTAAAAAACATTACAGGTAGTAGAGTGCAGAGAAGAGCAGTAAGGGTTTTTTATGGGGTGGCTGCTAATTTTTATTGGGGAAAAACACACAAAGCTTAAGACTTTCACACGCATAGATTTTTTTAACAGAAAAGGTGCAATGCAGGGTTGCAGTTTAAATATAGAAAAGCATTTTCTGATCAGTTATTTTAGTGTACTATATTGAATATTGTCTTCAGTTTTTCCTTGTAAGACTAGAAACTTTTTTAACTCTTGTTTTGAGTATTAGTATCAAGTGCAAAAGCTTTGCAAGTTGGATGCACAAAGCACTTGATTTCAGATGGGTGAGATTTAGACAGGAGTAATCTTTGTGGTTTACAAAAAAGATTTTTTTTTTAGCTTCCAACAGGAATTAAAATGCTGAAACCAGTCAGTTACATCACTAAGTTTGTACAAGCCCCAAAGTGGATGTGTTATTGACTGGTGAAATAGTTGGGTGTAACTTTTTTTTAATTATTGTTTTCCAGCACCTATGATAAATAGTTACCTGACAGTCATTTTTCTCTGTTTTATTGCAGTCTCTGCGGAATCATTCCAGCGTTGAGCAGCATCTTCCTTCCACGAATGAATCCTTTTGTATTGATTGATCTTGCTGGGGCTTTAGCTCTTTGCATCACGTATATGTTAATTGAAATCAAGTACGTATGATCATTGTTTACATTAAATATTTTAAATATTTTGGCTTCTAATTCAGGGAAATCTTTTAGATTTAAAAGCATCGGCCATTGGAGTTGTAAGCTTAATTTTGCTTCTGTAGCTTTTGGATAAGTTTGGTTTGTAGAGATGTGTGTTTCAGATGCACACATTTGCCAAGTTTCTCTAACCTGTTGTACAGCAGTAGCCATTTAAAAGAAAACCTTGCAGATAGCTTAAGAAACAGAAACAAGACTCAGAGTTTCTTTTTTTTTCCAGCAATTATTTTGCTGTAGATACAGCCTCTGCAGTAGCTATTGCTTTGATGACCTTTGGCACCATGTATCCTATGAGTGTGTACAGTGGAAAAGTATTGCTTCAGGTGAGACAATGCCACAAAAAGTGTTAATTTTACATTTTTAAATGTATGTTTGACTTTTACATTTGCAAGTTTCTGTGTTTAAGGTGATTAAGTGTTTAAATGAAAAAGGTTCAGAGAGAAATCACCTGTGGTTAGACTCCAAAGGAATTTCCAATTCAAAACACCTATATATCATGGAATCATTGCAGTTTACTATACATACATGGATATTAAAATATCCAGCGCTATATTTAATATTTTTGTCGGCTATAAAGACAACAAAAAGGCAGATGATAAAGTTCGGAATTTTAAAGATAAAGCCAATGAAACATCTGCTTCTTTCTTGTAACTTTCTTTTGACGTTTTTCAGACTACCCCACCTCATGTGATTGGTCAGCTAGATAAACTTCTTAGAGAGGTAAGTTAAGCATGTATCACATTAAAGAAGGTGCACAGCTAAGAACTTCAGTACAAAGGCTGAGTGTGCACAAAGGGCACACAAAAATAAATTTTGATTACCAAATACATTTTTGTTTGCTTTTGCTATATATGAGAAATATGAAACTTGCAATCCTAAATATCATTTTGATGCCTGTAGTGGCTTGCAAGTCTTAGAAAATGATCTGTACCAATCTATAAACAGTGTGAACCACTTAAGGTATTTGTGGGTGAAACGTGCGAAACTGCTTGCCAAATCCTGTTGATTTCTATATTGAAGGCATTGATTAAATGATTTTACGTTTAATGGCTCATTTGCTTAGTTCCTTGTATCTCATTAAAGCCATTACCTTATTCCTTAATGGGGTGTGCTCAGCACAGCCTGGCTTTAGGCATCTCATTGTGATTTGTATTGTTGTTCAGAGTGCCAGCAGACACATGGAGTAACCCAAGGCACTTACCTGATGTCTGTGTAAAAGCTGCAGCAGCAGACAAGGGAAGTTGCTCAGCCACTGAGCTTAAAGAATTAGCTGACCACTGCATACATTGGGCAATTTCATGGATGCTAACTGAGCTTGCTGTGCATCTTAAAATGTGCCTTCTAGCAATTTTGAATTATTGTTGGTAGGGTATGAAGAGGGCTTTTTAAAGGAAGGCTAAGGGAGGGAGTTTTATTTATAATGCAGAAAATAGTTGATAAAATGATAGTTTTTTGTGATTTCTTAGTTGGTCTAATAAAAGGTATCATTTCTGAACCAAGAGTTCTAGAGTTTTTACATTTCTTTTTGATAAAATGACAGCATTTCATCTAAATGCTTACAACAGAGAGCTTTGACTGCTAAAAAAAAATTGCTGTACAAATCTAATTACTTTATTCACTCACTCATGGCCTAAATACATTAGATATAACTCTATTGAGCTGGTTAGATGATCTGTAGTAAAACCCCTTCAGAAAATTTAGTCAAGGGGAAGGTCAAGAATATTAAAAAGGTGTGCTCAACAGGCCCACTACCTTATTGAATACACATTTCTGAAAGATTGAAAGCAATTAATCCTGTTTAATAATGCAGTTGTCCTATTTAATGATTAATTTTACCATTGGTTTATGCCTTCAATTAGGTTTCTACTTTGGATGGTGTTCTGGAGGTTCGAAATGAACATTTCTGGACATTGGGCTTTGGTACTTTGGTATGTTGCCTTTTACTCGTAAAAAGGGAATGTCAGCCACTATTTTTAATTCTTTAGTTAAATATGAGCAAATAAATGTGATCTCTTCTGTATTTTACATGGAATGTAGGAATTCAGGTGCCATAAAATACTGCTTTTCCCTTTGTTGTAAAATAAAATGAGTGGAGTTTTTTTCATTGGGGCATGTTTCCGAAACTTGAGATCTTTACCTCCACCCCCATCTTAAACAGGATGCAGTTTTTGGTTGTGCATACAGAGGTGTTATGCCACAGGTCTGTGTGTCGTGGTTGTAGAGGCACTTGACATCTGAGAGAGAACAGCAGTAGTTATTTTGCATGTTTTTCAACCAGGCTTCTTACTCTAGGATAGATCACTTGTTGGTTCTTATAATGCTTTTTCCCTTAAAAATGTGGTTTTCTTCCATGACTAAACAGTGATTCCAACTTTCTGGTTTTGCAGTATATTAGAGATGAATTATCTTAGTACTGTACCGTAATATTTATGGCAACTATTTTGGATCCTTAAAACATTTCTACCAAATATCAGAAGTGTTGAAGTCCTGAACTAAAATTAAGGGAATCTCCTGAAGGCTGTCTTATATGGGGATGTGACTCTTTTCTGAGAAAACAAAGAAAAACTCAGCTTCAAGAAATGAAAAGGAAACCATGGTCTCTTCAGCTGGACCATGCATTTTATAGCAATCCTGAAGCATAAGTACAATTGTTCTCCTGATTATCAGCACTAACTTCCTAAATGGAAGCAGTGACCTTCAGACTTCATAAGTGCAAAGTACAGAATTTATTAATGATTTCTATCAGCTGTCTTTTTCTGTGACATAAAATGGATATATAAAAATACACTTAGAGGCCAAAGTTTAGGGGATCAGACGCATAGTAATAACCAGGGGAGTAAGTATTTTTAAACCTTTTCCCCCTTGTATTCTTCCGGTATGTCATCTCCTGAGGGATCCTTTCTTTGGCCAAAGTTTCTTTACAGCCAATTGGAGTAAATTAAAGGGGGACCTTGAGTTACCCATTATGTTATCTGAAATGCTGGATGACTCAAACAACATCCCTGAACATCATTGTTTCTCCACCACTGTTTACAAAGCATTTGTAGGTTTAAAGGTTGCCCATTATATCCTGCTGTAGAAACTAGATTGCTTTATAAAACTCATAAGATTTGTAAAATAAAATAAAATAAAAATCTGTGCGTTTGCCATCAAAATGAAAACAGCTGTCAACACCCCCTTCTAAGCCAACTTCTTTATCTCCTTTCCATTCTAAAGGCACAGAAGGAACAGAAATTTACTTTCATTTACCACTCCTGCAACTAACTAATGTTGCAGATTGGTGATATTAAGGTGTGGACAGTCAGATTACAACCAATAGCCTGTGCACTTTAGGCATGGAGCTCTGACTATTCAGTGTTGCTCTTCCTACAAGGGGGCACCTGATTGAAGCTTGTCAATTACAGCTGTTCTTGATAGCATTCAGCAATGGCTGTGTGGTATGTTTTGTTTGCTCAGTGCTTTGAGTCAGTGTGTGCTTTTTTTCCTCCTCTCTATGCTTGCTCATATGATTTTTACAGTTGCTGCCCGCATTGCTGCCCACCATAAATTATATTAGCAGCTAATTGACTAATGTTCTTAAGAATTTCCCTTTACAAAAATATCTCTTGATAGCGAAGTCACTTAATGTGATGAGTAAGGAGTAGAGCTGATGAGTAGGCCTTATTCCACTGATTCTCAGCCAGGATGCTGAGACCCTTTTAAGGGTAATTTGCAACATTATCACAGTTTTTGGTTTGCAGACACCTACGCATGATTCACAAGACAAACTGAGAGATTTCAAAAAGGAATCCAGAGTTTCAAAAACATTCTGAGTTATCGTGGTGTTTGAGTTGCTCTACTGTTTTGCTGCACTCAAGAAATTAATGTAATCTAAGAGCTGGCACTTTCCAAGGGTTGCCTTCAGTCTAAAAAGTTTGAGAACTACTGCCTTAGATTGTGCACAGTAAGACATTTAACTCCACTTAGTTAAAATACTGAAAGAAAATTAGATTCATTACCTGAAGGACTCGTCACAGACTATTTTTTTTTCACTTTCTAGGCTGGATCAGTACACGTGCGCATTCGGAGAGATGCCAACGAACAAATGGTTCTTGCTCATGTGACTAATCGGCTGTATACCCTCGTGTCTACTTTGACTGTTCAGATTTTCAAAGATGATTGGATCAGACCAACTTTATCATCTGGGCCTCTTGCAAACAATATATTGAGCCTTTCAGATCATCATATTATTCCAATGCCACCTTTAAAGGCTGCTGATAATTTGAGCCCTGTTACATCAACACCAGCTAAACCTAGCAGCCCGCCTCCAGAATTTTCTTTTAACACACCAGGCAAAAATATGAATCCAGTTATTCTTCTGAACACTCAGACAAGGCCCTATGGATTAGGCTTCAATCATGGATCTGGACCATACAGCCATATGTTCAATCCAGGATTTGGAGTACCAGGAATGGGAGCAGCTCAAGGATTCCGGACTGGTTTTACAAATGTTCCAAACAGATATGGAACTAATGCGAAAGGGCAACCCAGACCACAATAAACTCCATTTGTCATTATTTATTGTACTGAAGGCTATTGACTTCTCAGTTGTTTTTCTTTTATTGCCCAATTTTTATAAAATATTAGAGCATTCTCTAAATGACTGGGAACAATTGCATTGTTCATATTCATAAAACAATTGAAATGCTTTTACTTTTTTTACACTAATCTGTATGATGCTGCAAGTATTCTACAAGCTTGTGAAATTTTAGATACATTTTCTAGTTACTGAGTTTATTCCTATTCAGTTTTTCTATTCATGTTTCTCCTACTCCCTCCTCCCCATATCATATCAAAATACAGCATTATCATAGCTCCGTGAGAGCAAAACTGAATGAGTAGCATCCTTTCCTTCAACTGAGAATTGTTTCTGAATTGTTTCCTGATTGGTGACCAGTTAAGAGAATGGGAAGTGTTGCTGTTCCAAACAAGTCTTTATTTTATTTCTTTGACCACTGTGTAATAAACCTTTGGCAAAGTTGCAGCTAGCTTCTCCTTCACTGGAGAAGTCTGTCCTTTTTTTTTTAATCAACACATTGTATTGGACATCTTGAGGACAAACTTAAATTTTTTAAATTCTAATTGGCCATGCGTTCATTTTATATTTATTATTGATTTGTATTATTGACATACAAAGGGTTCAAACAACTGTTTTCTAGTTGTAATAGTTCCATATTCACTTCTGTATTTTTTTTTTTGGTTTAACTGCAAAATTCCTTGGCAAAATACTTGGAAATAAAATACTGAAAACTGCCATTTCTAGGGACACTTCTTTTTTTTTTAACTGCTGTCAGTCCTGTTTAAAGTATATGCAGATGGCCTTATCTCTCATTAAGTTTGCTACCTCATCCTTAAGTTGGTTGCAGATACTTTTTGATTTGATTGCTGACTTTGTGTTTCTCCTGTAGAATTTAAGGGAAAAAAATCAGCACTTAATACAAATGAACAGGATGCATTTCAGAGATGCACAGATAGATAATGCAGTGCACTGCAATGGTTGCTCAGCCTTCTTGGTACTGAGGGTGCAGTGTGTGTGTGGTGTGTGGCATCATTTTCCTAATATATATCCAGATAGACATATTTCTAGAGGGGTCCTAGAGTGGCTTTGGTGGAGTTTCTTCCCCCTACTCCTTTTTTCTTCTCCTTTGCTATAGTTTGTCATACAAAACAAAGCCTGGCAACATTGCTTTTTTCTGTTGTTTTTTCCCCAGCTTTCTATATGATCTACACCAGGCTCCTTTCCAGTGCCTTCTATATCTTTCAGTTGACACACTGTTCCCATTATCTGCCTTGCCACTTAGCATGCCTTGTAGTTATTTATGAATAGATTGTACGGCCGGAAGGGACCTTGGATTTAACCTGGATGTTCACCAAATCCAATACAACGATGGGATGATAATATAAAAACTGATCTGGAAGGGACAGGCAAAGATTGTGACAAGGTGTGGAAAGAGATTGCACACAATAAGAGGAAATAGAAGGCTTTAGTTAAGGTGGTTATAGGTCCTCTAAGCCTGTGAGATGAGAGAGAGAAAGAGTTCAGTCTGCTGGATGCACACCTTGCTGGGATTATTTGACCCCATCAGTCTTTCCTGCCCAGGGCAGGGGGGCTGGACCCAATGATTTCACAAGGTCCCTTCCAGCCCTCAACTTCTGTAAATCTGTGAAACCAATCCACCCATCCACACTAAGTCACCAGGCACCAGTCACTATAGCATCTCAGTGAGATGCTGAGATATATTAAGATGTTTTCTGGAGGTATTTGACTGATGGGTGAGGCTTTTTCTTATAGAACTAGGTTGAGAGAAGGGAGAGAGATGCTAGAGTCCTCCTGACTATGCATTTGATCCAATGAGAAATTTCCAACCCCCCGCCCTTATTTGTATATTCTTGTGTGGAACAACACTTTCACCCTGCTAAGTTGAGAGAGGAACAACACTTGTGTGTAAATCAGCACATGGATTCTGAGATTTCTGTCTCCATGCACTGCTTGTGGAGCCTTGTTGTTATTCTCAAAGACCACTTCCTCCTTGTCTCTACCCATGTCACTTCACTCTGAGGTGTGGATGAGGGTTTCCCCTCTAAGAACCACAGGCTGAATGCCGATACTGATTTTCTGACACACTATAATCTACTTGATTCCTGAGTATTTTTTTTCCTACATAGAACAAATACTAATGACTTCCTTTGCTTTTGATGGGATTTGATCTGCCAGTAATCAGCTGCTTCTGCTAATTATTTGTCTGCTACCCCTGGGGAATTTCCCTCCCTCCTCCATTTTCACAGTTCTACTTTCGGCTCTTTACTTTTGCTGTGTTTGCTTGCTTTCCTCCTCAGATCTGATGAAGAATCTCTTGCATTCAAAAGCTTGTCTGACTTTATTCCAACCATGCAGTTGGTTCAATAAAAGATGCACCTAAAAAATCCTGGCTTCCCACTAAGAGCAAGGCAGCACTCTGCGTGATAGCATTTTGGTAAGACTACATGTGATCTGCGAACCACATGCTGAGAATCACAGATATACAACTTACTCAAGTAAGTTTACAAGCGGGGATCTAATACTGTTCCTAGTAGAATGATCAGCTCACTGCAGTACTGTGTCAATGTGTGACAGAATATGGAAGACCATCGTAAAAAATGCTATTTCTTAATTTGAATTGCTAGTTCTCAGTTCTAGTACTTAATTCCAAGTACTGAATATCTTCATCTAGAAGCACCAAATGGTTCAGTAATAGTCTTTTGTTTAGTAACTGCCTTTTAGGATACAGTTTTAATAGAAACTGCCCTCACTGAGCAGGCATGCTTTATGAGATGTTTGGGTTTGTTCCTTGTACTTGCACGTGAAGGTTTCAAGTAGCAATTTTGGGGATTCTTTGCTTTAATTGATTACCTGGAAATAAGGGAACTAGACTGGAAGGTTGACAGTAGGAGATTCCTCCTAGTCCTATGTTCCTATGTAATTCACCTCAGTACAGAGGTTTTAAAAAGGTCCTCTGCCTATCGTACGTCCTGAGCTATTTCACCTGCAACAGAACAGCTGCAGCAACTTAATATGATTTTTCCAGGATAGTACTTTTATTAATCTGTCCCTCTATTATTGTGAAATTTATTTGTTTTATTTATCATACATCTCCAGTTCTTAAAAGATGCACTTTAAGTGAAGCTGCCTTTCATTAAAGATGGAAGGGGAAATTAGGATCTGCAGCTTTCCATTGGGACAAGCCAATATGTTCAGAAGGTTTCCAAGCATGTAATGTTATTGCATTCAAAAAGTGTTTCTGAAGTGATCATGTATACAATGGAAATGCGTAAGTTCTTCAGCTGATCTACCACTGGAACATTTTCACAATATTTGAAAGGTCAGGACAGATGTTAAAAAAAGATTAATTTTTTCCCATCCTTACAATTCCATTATATGAGGAAAATAAATTGTGATTTTTTTTTTTTCCAGATAAATTGTTTACAGAATTCTACAGTTGCATTTTCACATGTAAATGTTTGAATCATTAATTCACATACAGGGTTTCTACCTTTATAACGAACCATGCATGTTATTAGCTGAGCTATTGAAATGAAATTAGCTCTGTACTAATTCATAAGGCTCCTTAGAAGACTGCTATAAATAACTCCTTATGACACTTTTGTCAAAGGATTTTTGTTGCTCTTTTACCTGTGCTTACCTGTATTTCAGGCTTTACTATTATGTGGTCTGTTGCACTCTCAAATATTTGTCTGGATTAAGTGAGAAAGGGTTAATTTTGTTTCTGCTCTTCTGGCCATCAGCCTGGACACCCAGTGCTTAGCTCCCTGTAACATGCAAGTCTTTAGAGGCTGAGATTATTCTGCCTACTAGAGGACTCGGAATTGGTCAACCAGTTACCTATTGCAAAAGCAGTCTTGCAGGACAGTGATTGCTGCAATGGAAGTGAAGAAAATTGTAGGGCCTTGGTAGACTAGCAGAGTTTACAGTAATGATACGTACTGTAAGCATATCAACTAAACTGTTGGGGGACAGGGGCAGTCTTGGTGTGTGGGTACAGTGCATACACAGCACAATAAGCTCCTGGTTCATAACTGGAGCTCCTGGCTGCTACCACAATACAAATGGGTGGTGCACTAAGTACGTCTTACAAAAATGTATGACAACCTTTGTTCAGTTTTCCACACCCACCTCTACAAAGAATCTGGGGTAGCTGTGTGCCCCTTCTGGAATAGAAAAGGCAAGAACTACCATGTTTAGCTAACTGACTGGTGACCGCTCTAGCTGAAGAAGCAGGTCCAAGCATTAGCATGCTCCTACCATATACAGAAAGGGAGTACTGCCTCAGATCCAAAGCCCAGCTCACTCTTTTGACATATTCTTAATTGACATAATACACTCATAATCTAGAGATTCTCAACCAAGGTGCTGTGATGTACTTTTAAGGGTGTTGCACAGTATTAGCATTGTTATCCATGGAACCACCTACACATAATTCATAAGGCAACCCCAGAGATTTCAAATAGGAATCCATAATCATAATAAAGCATTCTGCCCTGCCTTAGTCTTTCTGAGTTCCTTGCAGCAGAAGAATTGCTCTGTTGTTTTTTGTCATGGCCAAGAAATATGTGAAAGCTAAGGGCTGGCATTTCCCAAGGGGTATCTTGAATCTAAAAAGGTTGAAAATTGTTGTCTTCATCTCACTATCCACAATTGAGCCCAAAGACTTGAGGGTCCATTCTCATAATTTGCATCCTGAGGCAGTGTTATCTGGTAGTCCAGATTTTCATCTACCCAATGTTTTACCTCTCCTAGATGGACCAGTGAGCCCATATATTGCACTAAGCCTTTAGCTCAGGGGTAGGCAATTGTTTCGGCCACTAACTGAGTTTTAGCAAGCCATCGAGGGCCGCGTGACAGGCAGCCAGAGGCAGATAAATATTAATTTTCTAAAATTTTTAGGGGCCCTGCGAACCGGATAGAATGGCCTGGTGGGCCACATCTGGCCTGTGGGCCACATTTTGCCCACCCCTACTTTAGCTTGTCAGTTACTTGAAGGATCTCTCTGAGGCTGTGTCTTTAGCTGACATACAGGCTCCTACTTTTCAAAATCATAAGGCTCTCATTCCTTTTCCTTTCAGTAGCTGTCCCTTGCTAACTGTACTACACACCATCTCCATTTCTGAGGGCTTCCTTATACAATTCCAGGTAAGCCTCTTTTGATGAGCTTTAGAGCCTACATGTAGTTAACAAAAGGTTTCTGTTTTCTTTTGAGCCCTGAGTAGCGATGCTTCATTTTCCAGGAGGGTCTTTGAACCTTCTTGTCATGGGGACCAGTATCATCGTTCCTGGAGCTGAGCAATCACAACTCACTGATGTTAATGAGGACTGCATGTGTTCAATGACCTTCAAGCTCAGGCCCTGAATGAGGAGTCTGAGACACAGTAAATGCCAATTATCTCCAAAAGAAATCTCAGACTGTGATTTCAGTCAGCAGGCACGGGGATAAAAAGTGTTACAATTCGCTGATAAAATCACTGATAACAGTGGTGACCTCCAAATACTACATAATGGCTTCTTGCAAGTCAAACTTCAGATTGGAATAATATGTTATGGCTGAGTTATAGTGCAAAACAATTAATATACTTGAAGCAGTTTCTAAATGACACCAGTCATATATCTTAGATTTCATAGACGTTAGAGCTGGAAGGGACCTCG